CCACAAAAACAACAAGGAGTCTGGTGGCACCTTAAAGACTAACAGATTTATTTGGGCATAAGCTTTCGTGGGTGAAAAAACCTCACTTGCAACATCTGAAGAAGTGAGGCATTTTTTTACCCACAAAAGCTTATGCCCAATTAAATCTGTTAGTCTTTAAGGTGCCACCAGACTCCTTGTTGTTTTTGTAGATACAGACCAACACGGCTACCCCTAATACTTGACTCCTCTCCAGGAGTGGTCCCTAGCAGGTGTGTCAGTTAGGGTATTGGGAGCAACATAAATCACTGCTTGGGGGGCCGGGCATGTGTGTGAGACTCTGTCCCTCTTGCTCGCTATCTCCAGCACCAAGGGGAAGGTGTTTCTAGGGCAGGCCCGGCTCTTGTGTTGTGTCAGGGTTGAGTGCAGCCTTGCTGCTGAATCTGTGCCCTGGTGGGGAGAGGTCTGCAGGGTGGACACCCCCCCCCATTTCCATGGAGCTAGTGGCCTATGCTCCCCGTTGCTGTACGCACCTTGCAGGGACTGTTTTTATCCACATGGATGGTCAGTTCTCCTTATGTAGTACGTGGCTGCAAGTAGAGCTGAGTGACATTTTGGGGACAAAACTTATTTTTTGGAAAAAAAATGCAGATTTGGTGATCCCCAAACGTTTTGCAAATTTGTGTCAAGAGTTCCACATTGTTTCACGTGGACATCTTTGAAGCAAAATGGGGTTTTTGTTGTTGAAATGACATTTTTGTTTTGAAATCTAATTTTTATTTTAATATAAATCAAAAACATTGAAAATGGCCAAAATCGAAACACAATGTTTTGTTGGGCCTGACACACAAATTTCCTCTCCCGACTTTTTAGACTGGCCAGCGAACTGAAAAATCCATGATTGACCCAGCCCTAGTGAGGGTGCTCTGCCCCTCTGAAATTCAGGCTCCATAGCTTGAGCCCAGTCTGCTGTGCCATTCAGTAGCCTTGTTTGTTTTGTTCATAAATACCCTGCCCTTTGCAATGAACATTTCTGCCAAAGTGACTGCAGAAAAGGAAGCTGATTGTCCCCTTTTCTGGGAAAGGCAGCTCTTGCCTAGCAAGGACCATGTCCCGGGGGCTGGGGGGCTCTAACCTCATCCCTGAGGCCTGCGGGTGGCGTTAGCAGTCTCGTGCTATTGCTGCAGCAGCAGCAGTAATACCCATGGTGTGTGTGTTTAGTCATGGAGACTTTCTACTGACGTGGACGATTTCACGTGAAACCTCCTGCTGGGGACTAGAACAGAGGGAGGGAGGTTGTAGCTCTGCACAGCGGCCAAAGGGGGCAGGGGCGAGCTGCCTTGTGGGGCTGGGAAAGGAACCGTGCAGACATCCTGCTTTGCGCCAGTTAAAGGGAAAGCCAGCGAGAGGGACACAGGGAGACGGCGGCTGCTTCCCCATCCCAGGCAGAAGCAGAGCAGCGGCTCGCGGGGAGCCCGGTAAGTGCCACTGAACGCCTCTCCCTACGGCCCCGCAGCCTCCCCAGGGATACCGGTTAGGTCGGGGTGTGGGAGGCCGTCCCTTTTCCAGTCTCCCCTTCGCCAGCGCTGGGACCCGGCGTCTGCCTTCGCCTGGGGGAGCGCCGCGCTCAATGCTGTGCAAATGCACTAGGGTTTGCGAGTGCCCCTTCGCTGTGCATTGGCCTGCAGCCGGGATTAGGCTGCCTGTGTGTGTGTGCGCCCTTTCTCCCTCTGTAATGCAGAGAGAAACAGTGCGTTTACATGCTATCGGCTGCAATGAACTCCTCTATTATTACGAGGTGGGGGCATAATCTCCCTCAGCTCCACTCGAGGTACCCCCACCCCAATTTGTTGCATCATGCCCCCTTTTTGTAAACGTGTCTTGCTTTACCTTGAACTGCATCTCTACCTGTCTGCTCCAGGGCAGTAGTATTTTCAGTGAGGCGGAGGTGTCACTGGGACACCCCTCCTTACCCCCAGTCGGTGTGGCTAACCCATGGTGTACTGGAAAGTTGGGCAAATTCATGTTGCTGTTTCTTTCCCAAAGCTGCTTCCCCCACCCCACACCCGCAAGAGATGAGAGGAAACCAGTGAGTTGAGTGTTGCATATTCCAAGACCTGATTTGTTGCTTTGTTCCTGTAGTTTTGCACTCACGGGGTGTCTGGAAGGTACCCAGTGGTTGTGGCAGGGACTGTGAGGTAAGACTCTGGGTTTCTGTTCCTGGATGTGACACTGACTTGCTTTGTGACCTTGGGTGAGTCCCTTCATTTCCCTGGGCCTCAGGTCCCCCATCAGTGAGTTGGGAATGACTAATTTGTGGTCTGATCTCTCAGCTGTGTGGTGATGAAGCTTAATTAATGAATGTTTGTAAGTCTCTCTATGGACTGATGGGGGGGGGGGGGGGGGGGGGGAAGGGGGGGGGGGGGGGGGGGG